TGCATTTAATTCTAGTTGGACTTTCCTTGATAATGTTTTGTAGTTTTGCATAATTCGCTATTAATTCTGATAGTTGTAGATTATTTTGGATTTTCTAACTACACAACCACGTGTGAAAAATGGTAATTGCATTCTTTTCAACTCTTAATCAATTTATTCCTTATTTCTGCCTTATATTAAATGGTAAGCTCTCCAATCAGGGCTGCACGTTGTCGCATAGTGATGATGTGCAGTGATGATCTCTAGCATTTTTAAACTCCAATTTCAGGAAAAATCTTTTCAATATTTCACCATTTTTCAATATTTCAACTTTTTTAAATAAGAGAGTTGCCTTTGTGGTTCGCTATGAATTTCTGTAGTCTGACTTAATGTTGAATTTTACTAACAGGTTTTTCTGTATCTATCAGAACGATTGTCTGATTTCTGTTACCTGATGTACTGAAGTATACTGGTTCTAATGTTAAATCAACTGTGACTTGCCAGGAGGAAAAGCGAGTTATGATGGGTATTTTTTAAGTATATTTGGTGTAAGTTGCCGTGTGCCTTCTCACAGAAATTGGATCCTTTCCGGTAACACCTTCTTCAGGTACGAAGGCTTTCTAGCCTGTGATTTGAGAAGTCCTGCTGCTGCCTCTGTCCTCAGAAAATTTAATTGATTAGCATTAGTTCTTTCTCAAATGTTGGGACGAACTTTCCAGTGTAACCATCTGGGCCTGGAGCTTTCTTCATTTAAAGATTTAAATTGTACGGATTTACTGTTATTTAATAAATATAGAATTACTTAGATGTTTCTGACCCCTTGTGTTTTTCTAGGCCTGCGTCCTTGTTGCCTCTGCTGCCGCATTTATTCACTAAAGCAAAGCTCATGAAACCTATGACGGCTTCTTTGGGATGGGTTTCCCTGTTTAAATTGCCTATTTGTGCTTCGCGTTTCCTTTCCTCTCAGTTATTCTTTTCTAAGGGTTATCAGTTGTGTTAGTCTCTTGAAGGGAATACATTTTGGTTTTGCTAATTTTTTTCTTTTGAAAGTTTATTTTCCATTTCATGAAATTCTGCCCGTATCTTTATGATTTCCTTTCTTCTGCTTTTTTGGGGGGAAGGGTTATCAGCTATTCTTTTGCTAACCCTTTTGAGAGATATTTGAACCTCATTTTCTGGCCGTTTTTCAGTTATAATTTATAAAAGGCCGTAACTTTCTTCCGTGCTTCAGCAGACCCTGCTTTTTTCAGAGTGAGAAAGAGCGCCCCCTCTCGACAGGAGTCCCGAAAGCGTCTCTTCGCTGGGCCCCAGGACCTTGGGTCCCCGCTGCAGCTCCTGGGCTGTCTGTGACCCTACGGATGCCGGGAGAAGCCTTTCACGTGGGTCTCCTTGCCGGAGCAAGTGCAAGCTGGCCCGTCCTTCGCATTCTTCCCCGCGTTTGCAGCTTTGCAGGCCAGTGGAGGAGACAGCGGCCAGTCAGGGCGGGCAGGGAGAGGAGGCGGCTCCCATCCCAAGCTCTCTAATTTCCAGTGTGACTCTTTTATCTGTTGCACGGATCATTTAGAAGTATGAGTAGGGCGCTTCTGGGTATCTTTTTAAACTTCTGGCTTCATTCTACTACGTATAATTAGAAAACATTCTCTGCGCGATTTGAATTCCTTCAAATCTGTTGGGTCGTGTTTTATAGCTTAGCAAATAGTGACTATCACAAATCACTGGGAAAGAAAGCGAGATTTTGGCTTGGAGGTGCAGTGCTCTACGTGTGAAAAGCTTGTCGGTCGTGCTAACTGCCCTACACACTGCTGCCTTTTCACGTCGCCTGCTTGTTTCTCACCTGATGCTCTGCTGTTAGATGTGCCCAAAGCTAGAATTCTTACCTATTTCAGGTGGAATGCAATTTTCACTGTTACAAAATATCTCTCCATATCTCCAGTGGTGCTTTTGCCCCAGAGTCTGCTGCAGATCAGCATCTGCAACCGACTCACAGTACGTCTCTCCGCCTTTCACATCTAAGCCCTCGGGATTCTTGTAAACAGTCTGACTGTCTGCATTTCAGTTGCAGCGCTCTGTGTATGTTCCGCATGAAAATATTCTCTCTCTTCTTGTCTTCTTTTGCACGGATGTGTCCATTATTGCATTTCCTTCATTGTTTAACCAACCCATTCCTTCACTCTTCTATGGCCGTCATCCAGGAATTCTCAGGCGCATTGTTAACCCATCCAAGTCAAATGCAAATTGGTGCTTTGATTACATCCGAGACGCTGTGCAAGCCTAGTAACACCAATTTCATAGAAACACTTACTTTGTGTTCTTATTGTCATTGTGTTTTTGCTCCATTTTAAAACATCGTTTTTACAATCATTTACTTAATTCTTCCTACATTGCTACATAGTTGCTATTTCCAAAGCTCTTCATCCAAGCCTGAGTCTACACATTTCATCTTTTTTCCTCCTTAAGAATGCTTTAGTGTTTCTTCTAGTGCAGCTATTTAAGGCAATTTCATTCTTTCTTTTGTTGTTGTTGTTTATGTACTGAGGATTGAACCCAGAGCAGGGGCTTGCTCGTGCTAGGCAAGCACTCTACTACTGAATTGTATCTGTGTCCTTTTTATTTTCATTTTTTTGGTACTGAGGATCAAACCCAGGACCTTGTGCTTTCGAGGCAGGTGGCAGAACCAGAGTTAAATTCCTGGCCCACTACTGAATTATATCACTGTCTTTTTTATTTTATTTTTTATTTTGAGATAACATCTCTCTAAATTATCCAGACTGGCCTCAAATTTTCATTCTATCTACCTGCGGTCCTGGTATTTGGGACTACAGGCATGTGCCTCCAACTCTAGCTTTTGATTGTTCTTTTTCTAAAGATGAGAATCCAGGTATTTTATCTGTGTCATTTACATTAAAAAGCTAGGAGTGGTGGTACATGGGGTGGTATCTTTAAAAAGCTAGGAGTGTTCATGGGGAGGCCGAGGCAGGAGGATCACAAGTTAGATAGAGTCCAGTGTGGGCCATATAGCGAGTTCAAGGACAGCCTGAACTACTATCTGTGGAGACATTGAATCAAAACAAAGAATTCAGATTCAAAGCTCCTTTGAAGGTAACCTGTCAGATGTTTTTTCTCCCTGATGTTAAGATTTTATCTTTTGTCTTTATTTCCAATGGCTTAATATATTTTTCTCAGATGTGAAATTCTTTCTATTTATACATCTTGAACTTTGGTATAATTTCTTTCCATTTGTCTTTTTCTTTTCTTCTGGTAGAAAAAAGACATTTATCTTTATTAATTTTTTTAAAAACTGTCTTCCAAGGGCCGGGGATTTAGCTCAGCAATTCAGTGGCCTGCCTTGCAAGCCCAAGGACCCGAGTTCAATCCCCTGTACCTGGAAAAAAAAAATTTAAAAAATCAGCTTCCCTTCTAAGGATCTATTACAGATACAATGAGCCTCTTTACTTTGCCTCATATCTCTTAAGCTTCGTTCTATATTTTGCACTCTGAATTACTGCACTGTTTAACCTGGTTATTCTCTCCTGTTGAATTTCAGTTTTTTAATTCTCTCTTTAGCTGAATATAATGTATTCCTAAACCCAAACTGAATTTTTTCATTTCACCTTATTGCAGTTATGATATGAAATTACTACTTTTTGTATAAATATCATTCATGTCCTGAGATTGTCTTCCTTCTTTATTTTCTTGAGCTTATTAAGTACTGTTATTTTAAAGGCACATTGGATAACAGGATCTTATGTGCACTTCCTTGCAGGATCTGTTTTTATTTCTCTCTTTACTTTTTCATTAGATTCATTTGTTTCTTTGTGTATCTAATGACTATTTAATGTATGCCAGACGTTGTGCATGAAATGTTTTGCTATGACTTGAGGCTTAGGTGGAGAATCTGCTTTTCCTTCTCACAGGAAGTTAGGGCTTTGGTGTATCACCTGCCTCAAATTTTGAACTGAGCTAATTCAAAGCCACGTATGAAGGCCTGCATGGTTGATCTATTTCCCACTGGGCTTTGCTCCTACCATGTAGTCTTTCAGAGACCCTAAACTGAAACGTCCTGGTCTTTTCTGTGACTCTCTTTTTAGTTGGCTCTGGGTCCCTGGTTTTGTTTCCCCAGCTCTGTGAGTTGGCCTACAGTACTGACCAGCTTCTTCAAGCTCAGGGCTACATATGGTGCTGGCCACTACTGAGTTCACTAGGTCCTTGAGCAGAAAATCAGCCCTGAGTAGGAAGTCTCGGGGTTCTGTGCTTCCCTTTCTCCCCTTCCTGATCCTGGATGCCGCACCCTCACTGAAATGGTAACCCTGATGGCTTCAAACAGATGTGTGGGGAGGGGTGGGTGGGGAGATCATTGTTTACAGTTACCGTTTCTTTGAACTTTATCCACTTGCCTTACTTAGACAATACTGCATAAGCATCCATCCTCTCAGACCAGTCTCTTCCTCCCCACAAGGATTTCTAGTGACCCTTTGCAGGCATCTCATCCCACATTTTACCATTAGGAGCCTCTTCCTCTGGTGCCTCTGTCCGCTTCACACAGCCATATTTGTGTTTAAACTTTTTGTCCTGTTTTCCAGAAAACCATCAGTCCTTTCTCCACCTGCGACCACAAATGAGTGATTTCCTCAAAAGCTCTGAGATTAGGAGCTGCATTGCCTGTCCCAGACCAGGCCCGTGAGACTCTTCCGCACTCTGTGCTAGCACTCTTCTCCCCAGCTGGGATGGAGGTGGCACCTAGAACACCTCGGTTGCTGTGTGCCAAAGACAGCAGGGCCACAGGACAGAAAGGACTTGGGTCCCCACCAGTAGGCGTGAGTGCAACTCTGGTCTCTGGGGGAACTGAGATTTGGGTGGTTTTTTGTTTTTTTGATTTTTGTTTTACTACAGCACCTAGCATTACCATAACCAGACCATGGATGTAAGGGAATGGGGCTATGAGAATTCTATGGTATTGTTGTCATAGCTCCTGTCAGCAGCATGGAGAAAAAGTCTTTGGCTTATTTAGTGACATGACATATTTCACTATCAAATTTCTCCAAATGACGTGGAACTGTTCTGCTGGTGATGTTCACGTTAAGGATCGGGAAACATGTAACGAGACAGTGTAAGACATTCCTAGCTGCTCTAAGAGAGAGGCAATTGGGCTTCTGCAGTAAGTCTGGATGCAGTGTTTGGAGATCAGCTCGCTTTGCCTTGTCTCTAGGTGAGTGGTACAGAATACAGCAGGACATCTGGAATGAACATCAAAATTTAAATTAGCTCTCGAGATTTGGAATCATCAAGAATCTTGCAAGAACTTTATAAAAGTGCAGAGCTGTGATTCATTTCCTGACATTTTACTTATAATTGGAAGAGGACCCAAGAGTGCCCACTTCTGAAAACACCCACAAGGTACTTCTTATGCAGTTGAGGCTTTGAGAAGTGCTGGCGGGTGCAGCGTCAGTGAGAACCAGCGCTCCCTGTGCTCGGCCTCCGCTCTGGCCCACTGCACCATTGCTGGTGACAGGCGTTCCACCCTAGGCAGTGGACTCTCCGCCCGCACTTTCGTGAGTTTGCACTGTTTGGCACCAGGTTTAACTGTGAGAAAGGCATGCTCTGAGAGAGAGGAAAATACAAATTTCTCACCAACAAAATTACCCAAAGGAATGGGTAAAGTTCTCTAAAGAGAAAGGAAATTATAGGAGAAGAAATCCAGGAACACTGAGGACTAAAGAACAAGGAAAGAGGAAACAGGGGTAAATGCATTTTCTCTTGACTTTTCCAAGTTGTGTTTGTCATTTCAAGCAAAAATTGTATTTGTCAGATGTGGTTCTGAAGTACAGGAAATATTTATGACAATGTATTGTAAGTAGGGGAAGTTGAGGGGATGTAGAAACTCCTTCTCTCTCAACAGGCTAGGGTGATACATGTCTGCAGTCCTAGCATTCTAGGAGGCTGAGGTAGGAGGATCGCCAGATGTGAGCCCAGCATGAGCATTTTAGCAATGGAGACCCTGTCTCAACAAAAAGAGAAAATGTGGCTCAGCAGTGTGAAGGCCCTGGATTCAGTCTCCCATATGGAACCCTGCCCCCATAGGTGTGCGTGTGTGTGTGTGTGTGTGTGTGTGCGCATGTGTGTGCACACGTAAATTATCTGTATATGCACACATACATATGTGTGTGTGAAATAGTGCTAAAGCGCCTACTCAAAAAGTATACAAAGATATCTCCTCAGAAAACACAATAAAATAAAATAATAAAAGTAACTACAGAAAAACAGGAGAAAGAGAAAACAAATAGAATCAAAAAATAAAAGTTGCATCAATGTATTCATAATACATTGAGTGCAAATGGTCTAAATGTACCAGTTACTGTCTACAAGGGTCTTACTTCCGATATAATAATTTAGTTGGGATAAAAAAAGAGGGACAGATAGAAGGCAAACATCAATTAAAAGGAAGCAAGAATAGCTATGTCACTATCAGAGAGTGGGGTAAAGGACATTTCCGGAACAGAGAGGGCCATCAGGTTGTTACAAAATTTGTCCCACCACGAAGGCACACTGCTCTAAACATGTAACCGACCAACTGATTTTTGAAAAATTGCACTTCAGTAGAGGAAGGATAGATTTTTCAGCAAATGGTTGGAGCAATTCTACACCCATACAAAAATTTTATCTATAAAAGATGGAGGGTGACTTAAGCTTAACGTCTTGTATAAAAATCAACTCAAAATAGATTTATATTTAAATGCAAAACAATAAAACTATTTAGAAGAAAACAGAAAAAAATCCTCCATGACTCAGGGCTAGGGGAAGACTTCTTAGATAGGACTTTTAGAGCATGACCCACAAAGAAAAAATTGATAATACGGACTTTACCAAAACTCAGATCTTCTCCACAGAAGAACCTACAGAAAATGTTGAATAACTCAGTGTGAGCTCACAAAAATAGACCCCATGGGGCACAGGCCAGTAACACACAGTGAATTCCAATTAATTAGATTAGAATGAATCCAATTAGAGAGTAACACAGGCAAGGGATGAGAGAAGAGCCAGACCAAATCTTGGCTGGCTATCTGTTCAGCCACCTTGGCCAGAAATGTGTTGATTCCTTTGTACAGGTTGGAGAGACAAAAGAAGGCAGAAAAAGGCAGCGAGATGGCTTAGGGATTATACCACTAAGCATCATGTTCATCTCGGGGAAGCAATGTGAGTGTAGGGTTTCAGGGTAGAAGAAAAGGAGGCACCAGATTCCACTGGCTGAAACCTCAGCTCGGAGCACTTAAGCGCTCCTGCCCCCACGGCTCTGCCTGGAATGTGGGGTCGTGGGAGGGCCCGGCCGGGCGGGGGGTCTGCGATGAATCACCGAAGTGAAAACCCTTCAGAAGCTGGCTCTGCGAAAGCCAGCTCTGAAAGCTGTGGGGAGAAAGCAAACACACCCTATGGTTATCTTTCCTGCCTTAACCCCCCCCTGCCTCCTTCCCTGTAAATATCAGTTGCTATATTTATACAGTTGTTATTAAGTTACAGTTTAAACTGACTGCATCGGAACTATGTGAGCGGGCGACTTCACACAAAACAAGTGCCGGGCAGAAAGTAGAAACGGGCTGCGCCGGAGGTGGGCAGAGAAAGGACAGCAGATCGGGTACAGGGGAGGGAGGCAAGATGCGCCCGGACTACACCGCAGCTCGGGATGAACCGTCCTTCCTCCCCTCTTTCCTCCTTTCCCTTAAAGTCACTCAGCATCTGCGATATAAAATGATTTAGTATAAGATTTTCTTCTCAAAAGAAAGTGAGACTTTTCCACCAACTATAACCTATTTTAGAAAGAAACATAATATTGGGTCCTTGCGATCGAGAACAACGGTTATCAATCTCTTCATCATCTCTACAGCCGATAATCATCCGTCAGCCGAGTCCTGGGCTCTTTCCCGCCATCGCCCAATGGTGCACACAGGTGAAAAATATTCTCCCCGTCTCAAGGACAAGGAAATGATGGAAAATCGGAAAGAGCAGCCAGCCCGGAGTCTGAAGCTGAGGTCGGCCTGAGTGCAGAGCCGGAATGAAGGGGTCTTACCTGGTTACACACACGCACCAGGCCGGGAGGCGCTGCCCCGACACACAAAGCTCTCTCTCCCCCGACTCCAGTGAAGTTCCCAGGAGTAACTGCGTGGAAAACCTCAAAGAACAGAGAGCAGGAGAGGCAGGTGGGAGAAGCTGCTCGGCCGGGGGTCTCCGAGAGCCACTGTGCTGTGGACCCTGGAACCCGCCCATCCAGTCTTCCCAGCGGTCCCCTCTGAGGACGCGGGTCTCTCTGCTGTCCAGGTGAAGCATCACACCTGGACCTCCACAGACTGCTGCTTAATTTAGGGCGGGAGCTGACGCTCTTACCTTGGCCTTATCATTTAGGTCTCATTTAACCACGCGCCCGGCTACAGGGTGCAGCCTGGTCTCGTGTGGCCCTAAAATCGACCCCAAACACATCAGCCCTGTGTTGCACCCTAGACAGCCCTGCGGCTCATCAAGAGGCAAAACTGAGCGTCGCTCCCAGCATTTCAACTATTTCTGCGTGCACAGACAGCCCTGGAGTGAGAGTGAGGCCTCCTCCGCCTTTGCTAGGGTCCGGATGTGGGGTCCTGCCGCCCCTGTCACTTAGGGACAGGGACTCCGGTTCAGCGCAGCACAGTGCCTGTTACCTGGTCCACCCCCTTGGCTCTGGTGGCCGAATGCATGCACGTTCTCCCTCTGCCAAAGCCTAGACGCACCCGGGCTTGGTGGAAAGGACTCATTTGGAGTCTGTGGCTCATGTTCAGGTTTCTTTACTCACTGCTGCAAAGCGGAGTAGCTGATCCCTCACCCCACAGCCGCACTGCCTCCTTCTTCCAAGCCCCGCTCCCCACGTACCTTGTGTCCTCGATCCGCTGAGACTCAGTTTCTCTGTGTGTCCAAGGGGATGGTGTAGCAAGCAGCGAGCCTCTCTCCTGGTCGTGAGGCAGAAGGAAAGGAATTTGCAGAGCCCTCGGGACAGCCCTGCCCAGCGGAAGTATTTGCCTCTGCTTGGCACCAGGAACTGCTGTCTCAGTATTTCTCCAGTGTGAGTGCAAACCGGAGCCTGTTTGCTGGGCTGTGAAGGAGCCATGATTTCTACCTCTCCCGCACCTGGCTGAGGAGGTGCGCCTCAGTGGACAGACAGAAACATCTGGGTCCTTCCTGGCCTGTGACTGCTGCCCCATAAGCTTTCATTTGCCCACTCATAATTTAGCCTCTGCTTGCTTTTCTGTACACAGTACACAGTGGACCCTTGACTTATGAACTTCATTTGTTCCAAAGGGCTGGTTGTAACCCAAGTTGGTCAACGAAGGCCCAGGCTCCTCTGCACAGCCTTCAGGCTCTCTCCTGCACACAGTGGCTCTCAGCGTCCTTAGAGAGACACTGGCCCCGGGTCTCTCAGTGAGGCCCACACAGGAGAGGACGCTGTCATGTTCGACCCGGTCTCTTTAGGGTTAGATCTGTATCTGAGACCAACTAGAAGTGCAAGCAGCAAGCATTCGAGTTGTAACTCAAGGCTTTGTAAGTTTCACATTCTGGTCATGACCCAAGTTGTTCGTATGTCAGGCCAGTCGTAACTGGAGGGTCCACTGTAATGGGTGGCTTGGCGACACCCCCAGTATAGTAATGAGGGGTAAAATGCTGTGTAAATGCAAGTTTACTAGGCTTGCCCCAGGACTCAGCCTCCTCTCTCCCTCTTCCTCCTGACTTCTCAGCTGTCCCTGGGCCCCTCCCCTGCCCTGGGCAGAGCCTCTGTGCCCAAGGAGGCTCCCGTTCCTCTTCCACTGCCCACCCAGCTGTGGCAGGAAGCCCTTCCCTGTCCTGCCCACCCCGTTCCCTCCAGGAACGCCCTGCACACATGGGTGTTATTTCTCTTGGCAGCAGGTGTCCAGCTGTCAAAGAGACAGATGGGTCTTGGCCAGGAGGAGGCGGGAAGGGAGGTAAGGAAATGGGACTGGAATGGAACAGGCACCCGGCCAGGAACTCAAGGAGATGGGGAGGGTGTGAATAGAAGCAACTGAACCAGGAGAGGTGCAAAAAAGCAAATCAGAAATCTTTATCTGAGGATCCCAACACCCCAGAGCCCCACTTCTTACCCAGACGTGCAAGTCCCAGTGGGATGCCAAAAGGGACAGGCCAGGGGAGGGGGTAAGAGATCACGTGCTCTGAAGACATTTTAAATTTCTTTTACATTTGCCACCAAAGTACAGCATAGGATCACAAAGCTCAAACTGTTTAACAAATGCAAGTGTTAGAGCAGTGCGTGGCACATGGTGAGCCCTGAGAAAGCATCGGCTAATTATACAGTGTCATCATCAGTCACAACAGTGATTGCAGCAGAAACTCCAGAATTGTGTATGAGTTAGCTTTACGGTGCTGGGACAAAACACCCGGCAGATAAAACTTAAAAGAGGAAGCATTTGTTTGGGCTCAAAATTTCTGAGATTTCAGTCCATGGTCAGCTGATGCTGTAGCAGAAGGGCCCAGAGGAGGAAAGCTGCTCGCCTCATGGCTGTCAGGAAGTGGACTTAGGAGAAGAGACAGCAAGAGGAAGGGGCCAAGGACCAGACATAGACCCCAAAAGCACAGCCCCAGGACCCCGCTCACTCTGAAATGTGCTTTACTAACCTCCCAGGAGTCTCTCAAGCCAGAAGAGATGATAATCAAGATTAACTTCACAGAGGGCATGGGTTTTGCAGCCAGAGAGACTTCATCTCCAATTCTACTTTGGCTGCAAGAGCTTGCCTCACAGCTGACCTCAGCTGCCCACTGTGCAATCACATCACCTTCCTTGCTTGGCCTTCAATGGCACTGGGAAGTAACTCCAGTCTCTCTCATTTCGGAGCTGAAGATGTAGGAGTACAGAAGAGAGAACAGCATCTTCCACATCGATGCAGCTGCCCACGGGTAGGGTCTGTGGGAGTCCAGTGTGTCAGTCACCTTTCCCTAGCAGGGAGTGAGGAAAGAGTTGGACTGTCCAAAACATGGGGAGACAGGGGCTGTAGGTACGAAGTTGTCCCTCGGTTTCTGGAAGGAACACTGGCTTTGGAGTTGGACTATCAAATGCTCCGGCCATCTACCGATCGTGTGGGAATTACTTAATCTTTGTGAGTTTCAGCTTTTTGGAAAGACCCGAGTGAGGAGGTATTAATAAACCTGGAGAATTATCAGGACTCCTCTGTTTGCCAGAGACAGAAACAAACTCAAAACTCAGCTAAACAAAAAAGAGACCATGTTAGCCCAAGCAGGAGTCTGTCTGAGGCTGAGTTCTTCTACCTCAGGCTCCACACCCTGCTGCCCTCTTGGCTGCTCTGTAACGTGTTTCTCCTCTGTCTGGAGTTCACCATTTTTTCCATCTTGGTCCTCAGCTCTAGCCTTCACAGAGTTTATTCGATTGCCTTTCACCTAAGCTCTGTTTACTTTTGAAAATGCATGTTTTCATTCCATGCACCACTCCGCCTCCCTCCCCCATAAACTTGGTTCCATGGAAAAGACAAACCATGGAAATAGAAACCTCATAAATCCCTCAGCCAGGACTGTGACAGACTCGCTTACTGTTTTTGAAAGCTAACCCTTGGTCATTTCCAAAGTTTTCCTTCTGACAGGTCAAACCACATACAGCGGGTGTGTATTTTGTGTCCAGATTCCTACGGCACCTTTCAGAGACTACTGTTTAACAAACACCGTCTTCTTGGGAAGTCTCTGGAAGATTGGTCAGATCTACTCCGGAAGAGAGGAGGCCCCACTTGTGACTCTGGATTGCACTTTGGAGATGACCTTGTGTCCTTCTCAGCCTCCTTGGCTTTTACTTCCTGTTCCATGCCTGAGCCATCCTCACCCTAGGTGCACCTTTCTGCCAACAGACTGTGTGTTGTCTGCTCTTTTTTGTGATTACAAACACCCCAAAGTCAGAAACTGTATTAGTCACCTATTCCTCCCAGCACCAACATACACTAGGTGCTCAAGGAGTGTGTAAAAAATGAAATAGTGCAAAACCTGGGAGACTATGATGTGGTAATGAGCTTCTTACAAGACCTGATGGATCTGCCTTTGTATTTGATTGTTCCACTGCTGTGTAACAACGACAACAACAACAACAACAACAAAAACAGTGGCTTCAAACTACAGCAGTCATTTTCTTATACCTCAGAGTCCCTGTGGGTTAAGAATTTAGGGAGGGCTGGTTGGCTCCAGCTTGGGCACTCCCGTGCATTGGCACTGGGGCACTGGGTGTTGTAGAATGGCACTAGGTTGGGATGGCAGAGGGTTTGAGAGGCAGGAAAGTCAACTGTAGCACCTTCTTCATTCTGTTCAAGCAGGACTGGACACATCTCCTTTCTGAGCCTGTGACTACACCGACCTCAGGGCCTGTCACCATCTGTCTCTTATTGTTGTGTCCTCTGAAGGACAATCTGTCCAATGCTCTTAGCATTTGTGCCTGGAACAATATTAAAATAATTGAGGAGGGTGAACCATGAAGAGTGTGTTTCATAGCCCAACAGCAACAGAACAGGAGATAGACTCACAAACCAACGTGGGTAGGGTTGGCCCCGTATATGTTAGCTCAGGATGCTTCTCAGCCTGAATAAGACAGTTCATTCCTACAGGAAGAATTCTTTCAGTAAGAAACTTGGCATAGACCAAGCTTTTCCCTGAAAGCTGCACAGAGACCTTGAAATTCCTTCCCCATGGGCTGCTGGAGCCCTGTCCAGCCTCTGTCTGCACAGCCAACACCTCAACTGCCTGAGAAAGCTCACCTTCCTCTCCTTTGCCACCAGCCAGCAGCCACGGGGCCTCCAGATGCAGATGCAAACACGTGGGGTGGAGTTCAGGACAGCAGAGGCTTGTGGCCCAGCTGGAAAGCAGCCATGGACCCTGCAGGAGCAGGAGCCGCAGGAAGTGGAGGAAGGAGGACGCTCCCTTGTTGTCAAGCCCTGCCCCTTCCATTTTGCAGGACATCAGGCAAATGTCATCAGATGAATTGTTTCAGATGTGAACAGAGTCTCTAATTGGGGTTTAAACAGGAGACAGCTCGTTATTGCCTCTTTCTTTCTTCCTTTCTTTGTTTCTTTCTTTCTTTCTTTCTTTTTCTTTTATTCTCTCTTCCTTTTTTCTCTTTTGAACCCAAATTAAGGAGTCATGGCAGCCACTCTGGGAGAGTCCCAGGTTGTGTGTCACTGGACAAGGCCCTTATGGGAGAGAAACCAGTGCAAGGACCAGGGGAGGTGACAGGCAGCCTCCTGTGCACCACAGGACTTCTTCCAGGGCTGCAGTGAGCCGTGGCTGCAGGCACAGCCAAGGAAGAAGTTGGGGAGAGGTGCTTGGTGGCTACAGGAGTTCAGCCAGGGTGGCGGTGTCCAACTCCTTCTGACTCAGAGCCAAAAATGTGCTGCCTGTTTCTCTGTTTATGAATTATCCTTCCCCAAGCAGAGCAGCTGGGGCATTTTGCTTTCCATTCTCTGAACACGGCTGGGTTCCGGCCTTTCCAATTCCTTGTTCTCCATAAGTCTAACACACATGGCAATAAAACAGAGCGCCATTCTCCGTGGTATTTAGTTAATGATGCCTTGTCTGGCAGCGTCTCCTCCCTCACCAAAGCCATCCTTGGGAAAAGTTCTCATTCAGACGCTCCAAAAGTTGTTTTTAACTGTCGAGTCCCAAGACTTAAGACATTTCCAAGCAATCTGGATCTTATTTTGACTGAAGCTAGTTTATTCTCCTCAGAACAAAAGAATGCCAACAATTCGCGGCCCTTCACGCTACTACGTCACCAGCCAGAGCCTTGCTGAGCTCTGGGAAACAGCCCTGGGTGGCTTTGGGAGCCCAGAGACAGAGAGAGCTGCTGATGGTTGTTTGGGCGTCTGTTTTTCATTGCTCTCATTCTTTATTCTGTGCAGCCACACAGCCAGGATGATGCCGAGCCCTGGCGTCGATCATCACGGAGGGTCTTTGGGGCT